TGAAGGTCATTTTAATGTCCGTTCTATTAGAGGCATGTCAGTGACGAAGGTGGTCTCAAATCCGTCTGTCTCAAGAAATCTGTAGGTCAACGGAAATGGGGTTAACTATACAGACCTATCATTTTCCAGGTTTTGTGGTTGTGTTTGCCTTTTGTTTGTTTGTTTGCTACTGTCTGTTTCTGGAGGGTGAGCTCCAGCCTCCTGCTCCTCCGCTCTTTGTTCTCTTGTACTTGCTGCTCCCTGTTTGTAGTCTCTGTTCCTGTATTGCCCTGTTGAAGTGGACGAAACATTTGTCTTCAGTGGAAGTGGGATCAGTTGTGTGCACTAAATGGAGATAGTCTCACACACACACACACACACACACACACACACACACCCCCGCCAGATCATAAGCTTCTTTTGTATATTTTCTGGCACCAGCCATACATCATTGGAAAGAGAAACTGGGGTCACTTCCTGGAAGGTAATGGTAAAAACCAGGACTTCGTTCTGAGGTTAGGGAGGTGGTAATATTAGTAATGAAAAAGAAGTCCATAAATAACAGAATAAAGTCTGATGTTTTTTCCTGGGGCTTTGTCCTATGGACAGATTCTCTGGTGAGTGATAAATTCTGTGACCTGATAGTGACTGAAGCTCCTCTGCATCCGCGATAGTCTCTGAATTGTCCTGTGGGACCCTCGGGGAAGAAGAGTGGGTCCTTCTTCCTCTGTGTTCACCAATCTGCACAAAATATCTAGAAAATACTGATGTGCTATCAATCACATCTGCTTGAAATTGGCCAACAGATCTGAGTCATGTTTGGGAGGACAAACATGGGAGAGGAGAGTGGTTGTCTGCATGCACAACGTTTTCCTTTGGAGCGACCTGTTACAGAAAGGCAGGCTGTTTAACTGGGGATAATACATCAGCATTGACCTCTGCTGCTCTGCTCATCTCCTCCGGAAAAGAGGACCGATCCCTTTAATTATGAGGCAGAAGCAGAAATAAGGAGTCTATGGGGGTATCGGCACTATGGCTCGGGTACTAAATATGTAGTAGTTAGTGTTTCTGTTTGGGGTGTTGCTGTGTTTGACTAAAACTAAGCGTTGTCTCACAAGGAGGGACGCTCATGTTGAGGTCCCTTCAAAAACACCAAGGATCAGGAATTGCTGAGCAGCCTCTGGGAAGGGTGGATGAGTCCTGCGAGGTGTGCGCTCGTACAGGGCTAATGACCGAATCAAGCTGTGCCGCTGGCCTGATTGATGCAGGTCAAAGGTGTGAAATGTCACTCTCTCTCGGAAATACCTTCAATGTGAACCATGCTGGAAGGGCTGTGGGCAATGTTTTAATTTATTTTTACCACACTGGAAAAAATCAGCCCCTTAGTTTGTAGTAGCCCAGTGAGGCCCAGAGCAAGCTGGTGGAGCGAGCTGGTTAATTTGGCCTTTAACAAGTATTTCAACGTCTTGGCTTGTAGTCTGCTGTGCTACAGTCGTGCGCTGAAGCTTCATTTTAATACAGCGTTTCCTCAGAGGAAACAAAAAGCGCTGCAGAGGACTGATGTTGGTCTTCAGCGGGTCAAGGGATGGCAGCCAGCTTCAGTACGTTCCTGGGGAGTGCAGGGTGGCCCCGGCCAGTGCTTTTAAGGCCATGAAGGGTATTCACGTACTGGAAATGTGTCGGTTCAGAGAAATCGGGCAGAGAGGAATGATGAGTAAGCGCGTGCCTGTGAGCACTAGCACTAATGCTAACCTCACCTCGGGGAATGCTCCTAGGTTGGGATTTTCAGCGATAGGGTCCTCTGGGATGTTTTGTCTTACAGATCTGACTGTAGCGTGTATGGGGCTGGAAGGCACTGGCATCTCTTGTCGCCTTCCAGCAAGCAATAGCTCTAGCATCCCTCCTCCATGAGGTGATAGTTACAGGGGTGGTTTGAGAGAAGACAGATTTAGCATTCTTCTGTTCTCCCCCCACGCCCACCCCAATTCGCGCTGAAAGAAACACTAGTGAGCCAGAAAGCCCTCTGTGCACGTGCAGTCAGCTTTGGGCCAAATTCAGCCCTTCCGTAAGGTCTCATCGAGGTCATGAATGTTGCATCAGGGCTGCGTTTCAGCAAGGATTAATTTTGATCTTGAGGGACATTGCAGCAAAGCGGGATAAACCATCAAAGGAATTTAAAGCATTTTATGGTGGTTTTAGCATTGTGGTTGCTAGTCAGAACATACAGTGACCTGGTTCACAGCTTGACTTGGGCTACCAGTGCTCTAGCTAGTGCTCAGTTTAGCTAAGGCTAGGAAATTCTTTCCATTTAACCCCTTTTCAAAAGGTATTTGAAACAAATGCTTGTTTCAAAACAATGAATTGTTTTGGATCTCCTGGAACGCTTGATGGGGAATATAAAAGCTCTTTTCTCTGCTGGACTGGTGGACAACTGTACAAAATAGCACTCATCGCCTTAGCAGGTCTGCTAAAAACGTAAGGTTTAAAACATAGCATCACTTGTATTCCTCACGGAGAACTTCTCTTTGGGAAGTAGCATCACCTTGCAGTCTAGCTGAGAGCAAGACATCTTCTGTCACCATCCATCATGGGAAAGCTTTGCACTTCCATACAGACCAAGGAATCATTGCAAGGCGAGTTCAGCATAGAAGGGTAATTGTGTTACAAAATAAAATAATGCGAGTGCTTTTGTGTAGCAGAGCCTTCAGCTCAACTCCAGAGGTTCTGACGTGTCAGGGAAGTTGCTTAATCAGGTCGTATGTTAACAGGTCACTAGCTTGGGTATGTGGCATGGATGTTTACCATAGTCCTGATGCAAACATCCCTCCTTATTTTGCAATCTGGTAAGTGAAGGTTTTTAGAGCTCAGCTAAAGATTGCACAAATTGCAGTGCAAAGAGCAGCACCAGCTGCAAGGTAGTGATACTTCTCTTGGGCCTGACTCTGGAATGTTTTCCGTAATCCCAGACTTGGTGTAACTGTGGTGAGACACGCAGGTGGTGGTCATTTCACAAAATACTGCCACAGTGCCGATTCAGGCAAGTGGAGGAACGTCAATGGGAAGTATAGAAGTCTGCTGTCAGTTTTGCCTTCTAAACATCTCCAGTGTTGAATTGCAGTCTTCTAAGTTAAAGTCCTTTTTTGTATTTACAAACCTCTGAGACCAAGCATCTACAGAAATAAGCGAAACAAGAATCTCAGAAACAAGAATCTCACTCTGGCATAAGGGAAAGCGTAAGAGAAATGGATTGCTATGACCATGAAAATTTAAAGTTGCTACTCTTCAGACTGCTCTGAATACTTAAACTGACTGGTGTAGTCCCCGACTTGCAAGTCAGATTTGTGCTGGTTTAATTTCCCCAACAGATGAAAATTTGTGCAAGATTGAGGCTGTACTAGATAAAAGCAAGTTACTGCAGGAAATGGTTTAAGAGGAAGCGTGTAGCTCATACTGGTCATCTTGCACAGTATCCTGATCGGAAAGGAACAAATCTGTGTTCTCTGACAAGTACCTTTTCCGAAATGTCTCTACCTTACTGGGAAACTCCAGTTCCGCCTAGTTCAGTGTGTTTCTGTTCTAACTTCTCTCTTCCAACTGTTCTGCTCCTTTTGGATACTGGAAGTGATACAGTATCTCTGTATCACAGCCACCCGTGGAAGGCAACGGGTGACCTTCCTCAACAGGCAGCTGTCGGTGTTGCAGGACTATCACCTATTTGATGTCACTGCTGAGACATGTTTCCGTAGGGTGCAGGCTGTCCTACAAACTCCCTGTCTAAAAAGCAGTGATGTCTTCCATCACATTATCTTGTGGTAAATTAGAGTTTTTCTACACAAAAGAAAACTTACCCTGCCTGCTACCAGTGAAGATAAGGAATTGGGCAACATCTGCTTCATCTTGCAGTGAGCGTGAAGGAGTTCCGAATCACTCGAGTATTGCATTCTGCCCAGCAGATTCCGTACCTTCTGCTTTCCTGATCACTTACTGCCCCCCCATGTATACTTTCACTGTGTCAAATATATCCAGCAGATTTTAAACACTTTATTTAATAAAAGTTAAACATACAAAACTGAAATTAACACACTTCGTATTCATAAAAATCACCTTCTCCCATTATAGGGAGAACCTTTTTCTATGTATGGATTCTAAACTACTAGTTGTAGAGTTTAGCTTGAGTTGTGACTCAGGTAACTGATGGACATTTCCACCAATCAGTGCATCAACAATTGCTGACGTGACCTGATCTAGTTAACAAATTACAAAATGAGCTACATTAACATAATATACAGGGAAATAATGGTCAGGGTTAATGGACAAGAAACACCCTTTAATTATTTAATGGGGGAAACAGCTGATGTCCTCTTGTCCATTAACTCAGCCCTAGATTTTACAAAAATAATATCTACATTGTATACAGGGCTACCCATTAGCTTCTTTAAACACATAGGGGATCCAGAGATGGCACCACTACCGTAAGTGAGAGACAAGTAACAGAGGAAAGCAGATCACGTAAAATACAAGAAAGCAAGAGCTTTTACACGTGGTTTCCTGAATAAAATCGAAGGGGCTCAGCAGCACTGTAATGGAGCTGAAGTTACAATGAACACTAGGGCCAGTCAATTATTTAAGGACAGAAACTTGAGACTAACCTTTACTCACTCACAACTAACTAAGCGGGATCTC